ATAAATTTTAACAAAATAGAATAATTATCTTATCCTATTATAGCATGGACACTAAATAAATCCTAAAATGACTTGTTTTTGATATCAAATCAAAATACCTTTTAAAATGATGAAAAATTTATGAAGAAAATTTTCAAGTAAATGAAAGAAATTCAAATAACACACAAAAAAAAAAGAAATAATTAAATCATATAAATGTAATTTGAATTTCTTCATCCCAAAGTTAAGATTTTTCAAAAACTTATTTAAAGAATATAAATTTTTTTATCTATAGAAATTACATAATGAGTATAAAGTTTGAATCCAATACCTTATGGACTTGATTGAATAAGTCTCTTAGAATCATTTCTAGGGGATAAAAAGAGGAAGGAAAATAAAAAATAACTTTTTTCATAAGTTAAAATTAGCTTATACAAGAATTTTTAAAAAAATATTGGAGAATCTAATAGGGGAGAACTTCTACAAAATAATCTATGCATAAGCTTATGGAGAAGCTTGTTTCATTATCTCCTTTCTAGTTTTCTCTCCTAAAAATGTTTCTGGAAAAATTTACACAAACAAACTCTGTGTATACTACCACAACCCTCCACCTTAGATTTTAAAAATTATTTTTAACCTATTATGTGGTTCCTCTTAAACAAGGAAAATGATAATTCTACAACAAATTGTTCAATAATCTACTACTAAGAGAGGAAGAAAGAAAAGATAAAGAAATTTGTGTTAATATCATTACTCTTTAAATAAAAACATTTAATTATTAATTTATTAAATTTTCGTATATATGTTTTGAAAATAAATATTTGTTATTCATTTTAAACATTTAAATTTGTGGAATAACATATAATTTAGATCCATTTTCCTATTTAAAAGTAAGTTTATACTACTTCAAAGAATTTTTTTAAAACAAGCTTTAAAGACATGCCTATAAAAGGGTTAAAAAATAAAAATAGACTAAATTATACTTTTAGTCCTTTATTCTATTTTTAAGATTTATTTTTAAAATGGTCCTTTTAGTCCTTTAACTTGTCTTTTTAAAATAATGTTCAGTTTAACTTTTGTGACACAATTTAAAAAAAAAGAGACTAATTTAGGCTTAAATATGTTCAAATTACTTCCAATTAAGTCGATTTTCAGAATACTACTTTTTAATTTTTTTTTTGTTTTAATTACCTGACAAATTTTTTTTTAATTTAGTACTTCACGTTAGTCCTCCTCCATTAAGTGATGATATGGCAGACGGACTGCCACGTCATCACCCAACAATGTCTGCCACATCATTTAAGGGATTGCCACGTGGACATGATGATGACATGGCAAACACTATTGGGTGATGACGTGGTAGACCGTCTGCCACGTCATCACTTGACAAAGAGAGACCAATGTCAGGTAGTAAATTGAAGAAAAAAAAATTAATCAGGTATTTAAAACAAAAAATAATAAATTAATAGGTATTAATCTGAAAACTGACCTAATTGAAGATAGTATTCTGAAAACCAACCTAATTGAAGGTAGTAATATGAAAATTATCACTGAAAGACAACCTATTTTGAGGCCACCATATTTCGATTGCATAAATTACACTGAGTGAAAGGAGCGTATGCAAATATTCATACAATCCATCGACTTCAAACTTTGGTTTGTCATAAAAAATGGACCAAAATTTCTAACAAAGATAGTGGACAATGAAGAAGTGGAGAAAAGTGAAGATTAATAAGATGAAGAAGATATAAAACACTTGTAACTAGAAACAAAAGCAAAAAATGTTTTATATTGTGCCATGAATTAAGAAACTTCCGAAAAATTTTCTAAGTACGGCTTAAATATGTTCAAACTACCTTCAATTAGGTTGGTTTTTTCGGATTACTACCTCCAATTAGGTCGATTTTTTGATTACTAACCATTTATTTATTATTTTTTGTTTTAAATACCTGACTAATTTTTTTCTTCAATTTAGTACATGACGTTGGTCCCCCCTGTCAAGTGATGACGTGGCAGACGGACTGCCATGTCATCACCCAACAGTATTTGCCATGTCATCACCATGTCCACGTGGCAGTCCCTTAGATGACGTGGCAGACACTATTGGGTGATGACGTGACAGTCTGTCTGTCACGTCATCATTTAACGGAAGAAAACAACATCAGGTACTAAATTGAAGAAATAAAATTGTCTGGTAATTAAAACAAAAAAAAATTTAAAAGTAGTAATCTGAAAATCGACCTAATTAGAGGTAGTTTGAACATATTTAAGCCACTAATTTAAGATGTGAAACTTGCCCTATTAGAATTACTTATACAAAATTACAAAATCTAATTGATGAAGTTAAAAAAATTATAAACATAGTGAAAATTGTTTAGAAAACATATCCATGATACTATAAAATAATTTGAATTTATAACTTATTTACTTTTTTGGTTACTCATTAGACTCATTTTCTCATAATTTTCATCATGTTTAAGACTCTTAGATTCAAACATCAATTACTTTCAAAAGTTTTCTCATCAATTACTTTCAATAGTTTTCTCATAAGTGAATATAATGAAATAAATTTGAAATCTTAAAAATATTCAAAATCATGTATCATAATTAAAAATGATAAAACAATCAAATTGACTCATTTATCAAATAGAGGACTAAAATAATTTTAAAATATAAAAGACTAAAATGAATCTTAAAAAAAAAAAGTACCAAAAATATAAATTAGTCATAAAAATTAAAGTATATCAAATAAATATGTTGAACATTGTCTTCCATGGAAAATAGACAAAGCTTAAAGATCTTAGAAAACCTATCTTAACTTAACAAACATAACCAATTTTCGCTCATCTTCAACACACAAAAGGAAAGTTTATAATGCCTACCTTCAAAATCTATTTACAATTTAGAGTGTCTTCGAAAACAAGTTTCAAACCTATCTCTAGCCAACAAAGGCTTTTCAGCCAAAATAAAATAAAATTACTGAAATTAATTAATTAAAAAATTAATTACCAAAATGAGTTGTTTTTGTCATGTAGGAGAGAGAGGATTCAAAAAACGTCATTACATGTGACATTTTTTTTAGACAAGCTACCTCCATCCATGTTGTGTTATACGTGGTGTGCATGAGTTGCATGTATAAGGGAAAACGTCACCATAATGGACGTTTTCATTCCAAATTTCTTCAAATAGAAGACGCCAACATGCTAGACGTCTCATAGCACGGATTTTTCTCAATAAACGTCATCCTTGTAGACGTCTTGTGGATGATGATTTTTGTTTAAAATGTCATCACATGGCTCCTTCACTCACTAAATATGCATTATATTGCTAAATGTATGTCAACAATGAGAGGTTGATGTACCAAAACAATTAAATGTATGTCAGCAATGAGAGGTTGATGTTATATATTCAAATTTAATTATGCATTATATTGTTAAAAAACTCCTATGTGTCCGTGATTGCATAGCTTGTATGCGTCTAATCAACCTGCATAGTTATGACTCATCACCCTATGTCTGCATGCATGTTTGATGAGCGTTGTGCAGAAAATGTTTGCACTTGAAAATGTCGTCCGCATTGACGTTTTCAAAACATTTTAAAACCTTTTCCAACTCCAAAACGTCAAGAGTGGTGACGTTTTCTACCTTTTAAACCACGTACACGTTTCCAAATCCAAAAAAATTTAAAACCTCCAAACAATTTAAAACCACAATTCCAAATCCAAAAAATTTAAAACCTCGAAACAATTTAAAACCACAATTCCAAATCCAAAAAATTTAAAACCTCGAAACAATTTAAAACCACAATTCCAAATCCAAAAAAATTTAAAACCTCCAAACAATTTAAAACCACAATTCCAAATCCAAAAAATTTAAAACCTCCAAACAATTTAAAACCAGGTTTGTAGGCCTCAAAACGTCAAGGTTGGAGACATTTTCTATGCCTCCAAAGGCATCATTGTAGCTGGTGACGTTTATTGAGTGAAGGATCTGTGTGATGACGCTTTAAACAAAAACCATCATTCGCAAGACGTCTACAAGGATGACATTTATTGAGCAAAATCCGTGCTATGAGACGTCTGGTATGTTGACGTCTTCTATTTGAAGAAATTTGGAAAGAAAACATCCACCATGGTGACGTTTTCCCTTATACATGCAACCCATGCACACCACGTATAACACAACATGGATGGAGGTAGCTTGTCTAAAGAAAACGTCACATATGACATTTTTTTGAATCCTCTCTCTCCTACATGGCAAAAACAACTCATTTTAGTAATTAGTTTTTTAATTAATTTATTTAAGTAATTTTATTTTATTTTTTATTTATTTTGGCTGAAAAGCCGCCAACAGAACCTAGTCAAAATAAAAGAATGATGCAGAAGCTATATATATTGTTGCTTCACTAAAATCACATGTCAAACGCACAACCAAACATGCACTTAGAAGAGCAGAGTAGTAGTAAACAGCGGCTCCTACACTCGAACAATAGCGGAAGCCCACTAGTATCCATAAATTTTGTTTGTCTATGATTAATTAGTTGGTAAGGAATCGTTGCAGCCATACCAAATAAAAAAAAAAAATCCAATATACCAAAGCAAGAAGTAATATTTTCTGTTTTTTCCGTTGACCGTGATTTTGTAAGTTTCCAATAGAAAATCAAACACCCACTAAGCAATTGCCATTCTCTAAAACCAAAATGAAAACGAAAATTTTTTATTTTTCTTCTAAACAAATACAATATTCAAATTTATTACTGGATCGCGATTGATTTATTAGTTTGCTTTTGACCGTTAGCTTTTTTTTCTAGTTAGTCCTGGTAATACGTCTTTAACCATCCTGTTTTTTTTTTTATTGAATAGGGGCATTTTATGGTTTAATAAGACGAATAATATTCTGAATGTTCCTAAAGTTCTACTCTAATTTAGCTCCATAAATTAAAATATTTCGTAGGCAGGGATGGCACATTCGTGGTTTATCTAGTTAAAACTTTATATGTCAATAAAACAGACACACCAAATATGATGATAAACTGAAAAGAAAACTGAAATGTTTATATGGTAGCATAATTCAAACTTAATGTCAATTTCTTTAATCTCGGATGATTTAGTACAAGTTTAATAACATCATGTGAAATGATCAACCTTTTCAAATAAAATGAGATGCGTACATTGTCATCTTCGCTTAGAATCAGCTTAAATTTTCTCTTCGATGATCATGTGAAGCTTACGCAAAATATTGTTGAGATTGGTCCATGCAGTGACACCAACCTCTAAAACCATCTAGCAGACTATTCTCTCATTGACAGATTTCACAACGCGTCCAATGAATAACTGATATAAGACAAGGAAACCATTCATTAGAAAGAAACACATTGCAAAATGACCCTAGAATAATACACTAAGAAGGGTGAATACCTCATATTTCAATATCCGGAACTCCCACTAAGAAAGAACTTGTATCGTTGGATCCAAGAAGTGGAATATACTCTGACCCTCTCACATGAACACTAAAGCAAGCTACATAAAAAATTAAAAAAACAAATATAACGAATTTGGAGCAAAAGTTATATATAGAAAATCTTAAACATATTCTCTCTCTCACGCTTCATTTGGGTGGAAAGGGGAGAAAAAACTATTTGATATTGGGTTGTCAATACTAATGAAAACACTTTATAATCAACATTTATATTGCTGTAACCCCGCATCATCTGAGCAGTATATCTATGTAGAAATTACCATAATAATCATTCATGCAGCAGCTATCTAAAACTCATGAACTCACTACGTACCTGAGATTTTTTAAGTATATAATGGAGTTGTAATAGAAACACTAATGAATATTAACTGCAGCACGTATCATCATTTAAGAGTGAGTGACTTTAGACCTAAATACAGTTACAAGAGGAAACAATTTGTAGAGTAGAGTACTGGAGTTCAAACATGCAAGGATCCAAAATCATGAACACAAGAAAAGAATCTCATGCGTCAATGGAAAACCAGTTTTGTTAAATTAAGATCTTATGGAATATTTTTCCAATCAGGTCACTGGATTATTCTATTTTTCTTAAGGTATCAATCATAACTGATAGAAACTTCAGCCTAGCAGAGTATTTTGAAAACCAAAGCATTACCGTTCTCTATTTTCATGACACTTTGGAGCATTATATCCATCTTTGTTTTCATATCAGAACTGTCATCCATATGTGGCACTACAAGCGTAAGCTCTCTGTATATATCGCGTGCAAATGTGCATATCTTCTCAGCAAATTCAAGTTCACCATCTGATATCATACCTATTGCTAAACGCATCAGCTCTCCAGTCAAATCTGCTACCTGTAAGAGAATATCGAGCACCTTTTAGAGGAAGAGGGAGAGACTTTACCTCATTCACAAATAGATAACTTGAATTTCAATTTTGCCCCAATTGAACTACATAATATTTTAATGGCTTCTTTTATTAAGATAGGGTTGAATTATTAACAGTGGTAATTTCAATTGTTTATTTAGCTTAAATCTCAAGCTTTAGTTTTTATTTTTAAATCACCCTTTCTATATTTTTTAACTTTTGTGAAATAAAAAATATTAAAATATAAAACTGGTTCCAAATTCAATCAAAAGATTCAAAATAACCAAAACCTAAGGTCTTCCTTTCAGTAACAGAGAAAGGAGACCAAAATCAGTGCCAATTCCTACTCCAACAGCGTCAGCACTTTCAGGCTTTCAGCAGCAAACAAGCATGTGAAGAGTTTATAGAGTTCCCAAAAGAACACCATGCTCTAGAAGTTAGTGAGCCAACACCACCTGCACAAGTTGTGCCGGTACAACCAGCTGAGCTCTGGCATGCATTGCTGTCCCTTTATCCGTTGAGCAACGGATTATCATCTAATCACATGACAGTTCACAGAAACAGGTGGATCAGATTTCACACCTTCATCTTGGCCACATTGACAATGTCATTAAAGAACTGCTGATACTCCACAACTCAGTCACTGTTGCATGGCAGAGCAGTTCCCCCCCATCTCCGCCTCGTCAATGGCCCCTCAGTTACCCATGCTAAAGTGCCCCCCGGCCTCTTTGATGCCCTTCCTACTAATGCCTATGAATGACAGTTTATCAGAACCCCACTATCCTTGCAACAAATCATGCATGAAGGAAGTTTCGATGGAGAATGATAAAGTCCAAATGGAGGAAGTGTGATTGGCAGGTCTGTGACAAGGGACAACATCTTTGAACTGTTTCTCTCCCAGAGAGAGCACAACGAAGATGGACAAAGTGGAACAGAAAAAGAAAGAGAAAGAATGAAGTCAATGATGATGCACCACTTGTTAGCAGAAGAGGGTGGTTTAAGCCTTCATGGCTGCACAATTTTTATTTTTTATATATTTTTTTTCCATTCCTTCATTTTAGAAAAGTCAAAAAAATAAGGAAAAAGTAATTTAAAAATAAAAAATAAATAAGGGACTGGGATTTCGATTGACATATGATGCAAAGTTTAAGGATCAATGGAAGGAAATAGAGGCACCTATTTGCAAAAGGGTAAAGTTAGAGGGGTTATATAGTCTTTTACCAACAAAAAAATGTGGAGTTCTATGCATGCCTCATCTCCATACGAAGATTAAAAAAATGGAAAATGGAACTGTAAAAATCATCACAACAAATCAAGCACTTCGAAGAATGTGTTCTATTGGGTCTTTTTTGATGTATGTTATCTACTATCACCAAGGTAAAATATAAATCACTAGCATGGATAACACTAAGATGTTAAGAAAAATATTTTCACCCCTAATAGATAGTCAAGGATATTTATCTGCAGTGGCTGAAGAGATGGATCACTAAGTGGTAACAAAGTCTTGTTTATCTCATCAAGTTTCAAAAGAGTTCCATTTTTGCAGAAACCACAGAATGTAGCTGCTTCAACATACTCCTGTATCTACAAAGTGCAAACACCCAAGACAAGTATCAGAGAAAAGTTTTTGATCTCAACAAGGAAGTAATGTGTGTGAAGTATACCCCGGGTGAGTACGCTCGTCTTAGTTTCCAAAAATCAGTTCCCTGCAATTCTTTAACTAGTCGTGACATGTACTGATCTGTCACAGCTACTAAATCCTTTTCAGCTTTCTCAAGTACTTCCACTTTATTGTATTTACTCATCCTTGTTAAGAAATTAGAATATGGCAATGCCAGTAAGATCATGAAGATGAAGATAACATGCAAGTATGTAACAATAAATCATTAACCATCAGCAATAGAATTTGGACTCTTATTTCATTTATTTTATCTTTTAATATAGAATATGGTAATGCTAGTAAGATCATGAAGATGAAGATCACATGTAAATATGTAACAATAAATCATTAACCATCAGCAGTAGAATTTGGACTCTTATTTCTTTTATTTTATCTTTTACTATAGAAAAATAATTCATTAAGATTGAAAGGTCGTATTAACTCATTTACTCATTCTATTTGCATTTAAAAAATAGAAAGGGGGTTGACGTATAAAGATTGAACGAGAGGGCAATGCAATTAACATAATACTTAATGCCAATAGAAAACAAACTCATCATACAACTATTTCAAGATACAAACTAAGTTGATTCATATTACAAATTATAGATTAAATAAAGCGTAGAGGACAAACTAATCACAGCAACGAGCATGAAAAATATATCTTATTAACTTTTAAGTTATTTGGCTCATATGTAACACCTTCATGAGCATATACTTTTAAGTAATTTTAAGGAGTGGGAAAAGAGATAACCTGTGCACTTGAAATATGACCTTTTTGCTATTCATTGTTACATCACGACTTGCTTTGACTACTCTGTCCCGTTTGTCATTCTGTAAATATAAGTTTCTAAAATATCAAAATAACAGTAAAAAATGGAGTTGTATACAGCACTACTGTAAAGTTACCGACTTTATAGGATATTCATAGCTAACCAATATCCATATATATTTAAACCTTTGAATTAAGTTACTCAAAAGTAAGTTTCGGCATATTATCAATGAAGCAAGAGTATTGTAGAAAGCGGCAGTACTAGTGTGCTCCAAATCATTTACCATTAAAATCCCAGATGAATGGCGGAAAACTACTCCCAGAAAGTATAACAATAAAATTTGAGGGGAGAGTCTCCAACATAAAGCCTTCCACTTTAGTATACTACACCTTCTCTAGCAACCCAAGCCCAGGAAAGAACAACATAAATAATCAAAACTTTTCATATTTATTTGGTATAGACCACAGGTATCCTCTACTAAAGACAATCTTGTTCAAGCCAAGTAGAACCATAAATTAGAAGAAAGTTTCTATTGGAAAGTGTAACTTTCAATACAAATGCACTTCTTCTATGATTTGATTGATTTCCAATAAAAAGATTCTAGTTTTGATTCCTTAAGCACTGTACACATGACAATGGATTGGATAGCAATTCAATCTTCCAATGCCAAATACGATGATCAACATTTAACCTCCCCTCAATTTTGCCACTAAGGGTCAACGAGTTTGGAGAGAAAACTTCAAATTTCATGTAAATGTTCTCCTTATTGAGAATTCTTCAAAAAAGGAAATGAACGAGAGATTATCGTTTTAATCTTCCAAGCATCCTTTTTTGTTATCTATTAGTATTACAATGACAACACCAGAGTTTGAACTTAAGACTTTGTGCATGCTACCCTAACTCACACCACTAGGCCGATCGTGGCGGTTCTCCACTCATCCTTTATTCATCATATTAAATTTAAACATTCTATAATTATCTAACTTTAAAATTAAACAAATTAACCTTCCATCCCTTTTCCACCAAACTCCTCTGTCCAAACATAAGGGCATTAGATGTATAGGCATGGGTACGCTACAGCAGAATGAAAGTTGCACCCATGAAGAGACAAAAAACTGAAACCAACCCATCGGGTCAAAGCTAATAGTAAGTAGCCAAAATGAGAAGAACTCACCACCAGCCTGAATGAGAAGAAAGGGGAAACAAAAGGAAATCTCTACACAATTTTGCAATGAATTTCAAAAAACTTGGAAATTTGAATTGGGTGTGACAGTAGATGAGAAGGATTACAAGGTCATTGAGATATTCAGCGTATCTGGAAAAGGAGTCCTTCATAGCAGGTTCAATGGCTGTGGCCATGGTTCTAACCCTCTTTGTTGAGCTCTGAAAGTTGGTCCCTGCAACTGTGAAAGTGAAAATAAGTAGATGTTATTTAAGATAACTAATAGATGGCAATAGAGTAAAAGGGATACTTTGATGGAAGCGTTGAGGTTTGGATGCCATGAATACAGAAAACCTTTGAAGTGAAGAGAAGGAATGCAACATTTGTTCAGTCCGGTGAAGGACACCTAAATGCCGCGAGCCCTTTCTTGGCGAGTTTTTTTTTTTTTTTTTTTTTTTTTAAATGTTTTATTATGAATTTATTTTTATTTATTTTTTATTCTATAATGTATAACAATGTATAAAAGAAATATATTTTTGGTCATTATATGCCGTTGTTATGTTCTAACTTTTTATCTTTTAAGAAAAATAGAAAAAAAAGGTGTACATACAAAAATAACCAATTTCTTTAAAAATTATAATTACTATTTATTTATAAAAATATTTTTTTTTAATATAAAAAGGTATTGAATGTCTTTTTCTCCGCCTAAGTTGATATAAAATTAATAAAGATGACATGAATTTTTATTGTACACTTTATTATTGTTGAGTTAATTTAAATTTTAAAAATATATATATATAAAATAATTAATTTTAATTGGTTCGATTTGTTTTAAATTTTAAATTTTGTTTTGTCTAACTTGAATTAAATCAATTTTTTTTTAGTAGGAGACAAACAAACAAGAAAGAAAAGAAATAAAAAATTAAGTTCTCAAGAAAGACACGTGATCTCTATCATTAAGAAGAGCATCCACCAAAATAGACAGAGGTTCTTCAAACACAATCAAATGTCTATTTGTTATGGGCCCCTTCTTGGCGAGAATATCAGCACACCCGCAAGGTGTGCATAAACTCCACCTTCCAGTCTTCTTTCATAAAATCTTTTATGGATTCAATAAGTGTAGCAAATGGATGAGATAGGATGGTTGGTTGCTTGATCAATTGAAGTGCATGTAAAGAATCCGAGACACACACCACATCCTTATAGTGCAATTCCCAAGCCAAGTTTAATCCCTGGAGTATGGCAGTTAGTTCAGCATGAAGGGTGTTAGAGTGACCAATGTTCCCATAAAACCCTCTAACCCAACAACCATGAGAATCACAAATGAGTCCACCAAATCCAGCTGGCCCAGGATTTCCCCAACAGCTGCCATCAACATGTGTTAAGTCAAACGGAAATTCCCACCAAGATTTTGAATATGACAAATATAATACATATTGTTATTACTAATATGTGCATTAGTGTTTCAGATGGATAACAATAAGATCACACAATAAAGTATGATCAAGCATAATCTAACTGGATAAAACATCAGACGATAGCAAAGCTAGTATCAAGATCAAGGTCGATTCAAGCACAAATCAAAATCAAAATACAAGATAAGACAAGACTATCAGTGGAAGCCTGAGGCATTAGACGCAAGATGAACAGACATCAACATGAAATGATATAATCAACCAAAAGACAAAGTTGTCACTCTTATGCCTAGACGAAAAGAGTAGTCAAGATCAGACGAAGTGTCTTGTATCTAGACGATGTCAAAAATACTAAAGCATGTCTGAAGTCCACTAATCATATTGAAAGAAATCATACAAGAAACACAAGAGGACATCAACGTGAATAAAAAAAATATAGGCAAGCGTGGATTCACAAGTCAAAGTTGAGTGCGTAAAAAAAAAGACACCTACTTTTCAAAAAAAGACAGCACCGCAGCAGCTAAACTGATGAGGTAAGTACAAATATACCTAGATCATGATTGAAGTTAGATATAAAAGTAATCAACTACATAGAGAAAATTCATAAATACAAGCAAACATTTAATGCAAGATCAAACGCATTAAATGAAAAGATTTGCATAGCCATGAACATGCCTCCATCTGCAACGACATGAAGCTATGCTCCAACGAAAAAATTTGAATTCAAACAATGGGCAGATTTATCAGATGGCTATAAGTACCAGGGAAAAGAAGAAGAAGAGATATAGAATAGAGAAGCAAAAAGAAGAACGTACAACAAGAAAAAGAAAGTGAACAAATATAAACTACATTTTCTTCTCAAATTATTTCCTGTATATCTGTGTAAAACTAAGATAGTTTATCTTAATGAGTGTTGTTAATAGTCCATCCTCTCTATGAGAGTAACCAAACCCTTAGACACCTATCCCTGTAAAACTAAGGTTACGCACCTTAGTGAGTGTAGAAATTACCCTATCCTCTCTGTGAGAGTTATACACACACTCAATACTCTAAACTGTTGTAAAGCTTGAAGAGGCTGATAGAAAGAATACTTGTGAACTAGAAGTGGTTGAGAATATTAGCGTTGGTGAGTGAAGCCGACGGACCGGAAGTGGTCAAGAATACTTGGAGAACCAGAAGTGGTTAAAGAATACTAGCGTTTAGTTGACGAGCCAGAAGTGGTTGAGAATACTTGTAATCCCTTGTGATTAGTGGAACCCTTCTGCGGAAGGAAACTGGACGTAGCTTAGATTGAGTGAACCAGTATAATTGTTTGTGCATTCTCTTCATTTTTTTCTTACTTTTCTCTTGTTCTATTTCGTTTTTCTACAAAACATTAGACGAAAACATACTTAACCTTGTTGAAACTGCTTTTACTAGACGATAAAGTCTTCTAGACAGAAAACTAATTTACTTAACCTTTTACGTTGAAAATCAGTTTTATTAAACAAGAAAACTCACTAGACAGAAAAGTCTACTTAAGTTTTTCAACCAAAATTGCTCTTGCAAAATAACTTTAAAATTTTCCAACTAACACGAACACACACATTCAACCCCCCTTCTGTGTGTATTTCCGCTAACATCAGTTGGTATCAGAGCTTGACCCCTTGGGTTGAGCATCTAACACTGCAGGAGAAACGATCATGGAAAATGAAGGACAAGCTATAAACCGACCACCCCTCTTCAAAGGAGCAAAATATGATTACTGGAAGCAAAGAATGATTGCATTCTTTGATGCATGTCATATAGACATGTGGGACGTCGTTGAGCAAGGAAACTGCATTCCGCTTGATCAAGTTGGCAAGGAGAAACCCAGAGCACAATGGACTGAAGAGCAAAAATAAAGATTTATTCTGAACTCCAAAGCACGCAATGCGCTCATGTGTGCTCTGTTTAAGGAGGAATACACTAAAGTTCACAGCTTTAGAAGTGCTAAAAAAATGTGGGACACCCTAGCTTTAACCTACGACGAGTCCCTAGAGGTAAAACGCAACAAGCTAAGCTTGTTGGCACGTAAGTATGAACTTTTTGAAATGGAGGAAAGCAAATCTATACAGACTATGTTTGGAAGATTCCAAACCATCGTCAATGAACTTTCCTTCCTAGATAGAACTTATGATAACTTTGATCATATTGAAAAATTACTTCGTAGTTTACCTAGGAAATAGAGACCACAAGTTACTGCTCTGAGAGCATCCAAAAATCTGGAAAAGCTCTCTCTAGAGGAACTCATTGGACTACTTAAAGTCCATGAGTTGGAGTTGCAACAAGACGATGCTAGAAGGAAACATAAATCTATTGCATTAAATGTGCAAAAGAATAAATCAACACCATCCTCCTCAAAAGCCCTAAGGATCAATGATACGTCCGATGAAAGCTGCAATGAAGGAACTTGTGACACAGACGATGAAATATCCTTCCTGTCAAGGAAGATTCACTCAATGATGAAGAAAAAGGGAGGAATACGATGGAGAAAATACAGCAGACCTCCTATAGAAAATACAGCAGACCTCCTAGAGAAAATACAGCAGACCTCCTAGAGAAAAGGCACAACCATTGTGCTATGAATGTAAGAAACCTGGACATTAAAAAATGGAATGTTCGGAAATCAAAAAGGAAAAAGAGAAAGAAAAAGAGAAGAAGAAGTTGATCCCCTACAAAAAGAAGAAAGCCATGATGGCCACCTGGGAGGACCTCGACACAACATCGTCTGAAGGAGACGAAGAAGCAAACTTCTGTCTCATGGCAGACGCAGATTCATCATTAGAATCTGATAATGAAGAGATATGTTCAACAAAAACAAAAAATGCCTAGTCATGGTACCTGGAGAATGGCTGCTCGCGACACATGACGGGCGAAAAGTCTATGTTCCTAGACCTCAAGTCCAAGAAAGGAGGGCAAGTCACATTTGGAGGAGGACAGAAAGGATATATAATGGGAATAGGTAAAATAGGTATCAACTCCTCTATCTCCATCGATTAACGCATAATCTACTAAGCATAAGTCAATTGTGCGATAGCAGTTATGAAGTATCCTTCAACAAAAATAAATGTACTGTTAGTCAACCTGATTCATCCATATTATTCATGGCTAGCAGATGCAACAACTTGTATAAAATAATGCTTAATGAACTAGAAAATCAGAATGTTGATTGCCTAGTTTCATATGAAAATCAGTGGATCTAGCACAAGAAACTTGGTCATGCAAGTCAGAGATTAATCTCAAAACTGACAAAGCATAACCTCGTAAAAGTGAAAGTGAAAATAAGTAGATGTTATTTAAGATAACTAATAGATGGCAATAGAGTAAAAGAGATACTTTGATGGAGGCATTAAGGTTTGGATGCCATGAATAGAGAAAACCTCTGAAGTGAAGAGAAGGAATGCAACATCTGTTTAGTCTGGTGAAGGACACCTAAATGCCGCGAGCCCTTTCTTGGCGAGTTTTTTTTTAAATGCTTTTTTTTATGAATTTCTTTTTATTTTATTTTTTATTCTATAATGTATAAATATAAAAGAAATATATTTTTGGTCATTATATCCCGTTGTTATGTTCTAACTTTTTTCCTACTAATGTATCTTTTAAGAAAAATAGATTAAAAAAAAAATAGAGAGAAGTGTATATACAAAAATAATCATTTTCTTTAAAAATAATAATTAATATTTATTTATAAAAATATTTTTTTTATAAAAAGGCAATGAATGTCTTTTTCTCTGACTAAGTTTGATATAAAATTAATAAAGATGACATGAAATTTTATTATACACTTTATTTTTTTTTTATCTTCACGAGCCGAGTTAATTCAGATTTGAAAAAAAATATATAAAATAATTAATTTTAATTAGTTTGATTTGTTTCAAATTTTAAAATTTGTGTTGTCTAACTTGAATCAAATCAATTTGATGTTGAAAGGATTAATTTAATTTGTGCCATCAAATACCTAATAAAAATATTAAAAAAATAATTCTTTTGAAA